AAATGTGTCAGAGTTGTGTTTGTTTTAAGCGCTGTAGCAAGTGATTCAGCACCCACAGGACCAAAGTTATTGCCAGACAGATCCAAATCTGTCAGAGTTGTGTTTGTTTTAAGCACTTTAGCAAGTGATTCAACACCGGCAGGACCAATGTTATTGCCATAAGACAGACACAAATTTGTGAGAGTTGTGTTTGTTTTAAGCGCTGTAGCAAGTGACTCAGCATCGAAAGGACCAATGTTATTGCCCTGGAGATCCAACTTTGTCAGAGTTGTGTTTGTTTTAAGCGCTACAGCAAGTGACACAGCACCGCCAGGACCAATGTTATTGCCCTGGAGATCTAAATGTGTCAGAGTTGTGTTTGTTTTAAGCGCCGTAGCAAGTGACACAGCACCGCCAGGACCAATGTTATTGCTAGACAGATCCAAATGTGTCAGAGTTGTGTTTGTTTTAAGCGCTGTAGAAAGTGACTCAGCACCGGTAGCACCAATGTTATTGCCCTGGAGATCCAAATTTGTGAGAGTTGTGTTTGCTTCAAGCACGGAAGCAAGCATAGCAGCAGCAGCGTCATCTATAACTCCATGATTACGCGCCTGAGCCTGTTGAACCTTCAGACATGCGCCAAATGTACGTGCCAAGTGTATATAAAAACAACTGTTTTCAATTTTGCATTCTTTAATGCACTCAAGTGCAACAGGTAAACATTCTTCCACATCAGCTTTGTTTACCTTATTCGCTATGCAGTTGATTAGGGCTACTGCACTTTCTTCAGACCTCACTGCAAGCAGACCACAGGTAAATTTCAATACCTCTCTTAGCTCTCGGAAATATCTTGTGTCAGTGACCAATATTTCAGGACTGGTTTTTTTGCTAACAAGCTGGCAACAAAGATAATGTCCTGCGAAGAATTCTTGAAAACTCTTATGGGTAAAACCGTAATACATACACGGTCTTCGTTTGCTGCTTCCAGGTTGAGCTGATAGAAACCCAAATCCAGGTAGGTCGGCATCTTTTTTTGAAAGCTTTTTGTGTTCAAAGTACATGTTGTCTTCATACAGGCCGTTTAAAGCTATCAAACCAAGGCGTTTCAACTGATCTTTGTAGATTTCAATAAAATCCTGATCATTTTCGACTGGAAAACCTTTCTTTTTCCTGTTTCTGATAAGAACACATTGTACTACTTCGACATACAACTGAGTTCTACTTTCAGGTAAAATACCTTGAAAGTCTTCACAAAGAAGGCAAAGCAGTGCAGTGTTTAACGGGTTCGCTGTCATCTCTTTAAGCCTTTTCTCATTCCGTATTTTATCCAATAGCTTTTCGGCCAAATCTTCCTTGCCGGCAAAATATTTGAGAATAAATTCTTCGCTATCTTGATAAGTGAAACCTTCAATCTCTAGCAGAGTGTCACAAACCTTTCTCATAGGTATCCCAGCCTCGTGTCGTGCTGTAACCACAAGGTGACATAGAGGAAGCATTTTACCTTGTATGATGTCGGTAAACTCCGGCAGTTTGTCCGGAGGTAACTCGTCCAATCCGTCAAGTATCAGTAGAACCTTTGATTGATTTTGGCGAATGTACTCGAAGAATTTCTCTCTTTCCTTTCGCTGAATCTCAACTGGCAAAAGCTGATCATCAATAGCTCCCCAAAGGTCGGAGTCGATCTCCACATCACGGCATTTCAGCAAGAGCACCATCTCGAATTCCGGAAAGCAACCTCCTTCGTTTTTTATGTTTATAGCCCAGTCGTAAGCAACCTTATTGCAGTATGTCGTCTTTCCTATACCTGGATTTCCTTCAATCAATACTTTTCTAGGTTGTTTGCACTCTTCGTGGGGTTTGAAGATTTCAGTCGTTTCAACAGTTCTTTGCTCCGCTGTTGCTCTCGCTTTTTTCTCTCTGCTGACCATACGAAGCCGTGTATAAATACTGCCTAGTTGAAACTGAAAGTCTTCGCACCAAGGAAAGGGCGTGAGCCATCCCTCATGACGTTTGTACTTCTGGCGAATGATTTCAATATGCTCGGCAGCCAAATCAACTGTTGATAATAAATGAGAGCCAAACTTTGGTTTAGATAAAAGGTTGAGTTTGATCGTCCGGGTGAACGTAGTCCTGAATAGGACTGTTGTTGTTGACAGTGACTGACGATTCGACAACCTGTGCGGTAGTCATCTTCAGAGTCAAAGTGAGTTGTATCACGTCAGTTGATGGTATCATACTCTGGTTATTGATCTGATTGGTCAATTATGTCGTGATGTTATTGGTCGTCTGTCAGTTAAGCCGTGATGTTATTGGCTATGAAGACTCGTAATCAGTGATTGGTGCGTTTCGATCCGTCTATTGTCACAGTTATTGTTAGTCAAATTGTCAGTTCTCCAGTTGTTTGGTTTAGATATTTGTCTTAAACAATTTGGTTTGCTACTTTCAAAGTCCGTAACACAAATGAATAGAACAACCTGCAAAACAAAACGTACCTTTTAACAATTAGTTTCTCTCCTGGATATGTGCACCGTTTAAAGCAAGCGTAAAACATCTCAGACTACACCCGCTGTGAGGGGTCCCTTCAGTATAGAGGACACGAAACATAACAAAGGCCCTCTTTTTTGTTTAAAGGCAGCCTTTTAGCAGGCCTCTTGAATTTGTGAGAAGCAGGGCAATTATATTCGTGGTTATGAACTTCTTCCTGCTAAGATGTTAGGGTATTTTCTCGCGTGCTTGTTGGGTTTGAAAGGCTGCATCTTTTTTTCATCTGGGGAGAGTAACAATCGTGACCCACAAGGGACATGCAGCAAATAAAAATAATGCTGCAAAACGAAAACACTTGCTACAAATTTAAATTAAGTTGAGCTACCCCTCGGTACATTTGAAACCGAGATACCTGCATGCATTCTAGCAGGGAGCTATAAACAGCCTAGGGCGTTTCGCTCTAGTCCAAGGTGTACCATCTGTCATGTCACTCGCTGAAAGAATCACAATTTTTATTGAAGGCAAATGAATAAATTGCAGCACTATGGGATCTTCTTGAGAAATTCCTTTCTGGATACAGAATTGCTTTTTTGGAGCCAAGAGCGATACAGACAAATGGTCACTGATCGATCAGCAATACTGGCCCAACATAGCGGGCTACAGGTCGGGGAAACTGACCTTCCTCGCGGGTCGAAGATTCCTGTAAAGTCTTCAAGTTTTCACTGATGCTTTCTATCTTGTTTTTTATCTCCTTTAGCTCTTCTCTTGTTCTATCTGTCAGGGAGAAGAATGCACTAGGCAAAATTAGGCTTTCATCAAAAACCTTATCAGTTGAAAAAATTAAAGAGCTTGTAAGTGGTCGTCTTATCAGCATTCAGAGGTTAAATGCCAGTTTATAGGTATAGAATGTTTCCTTTGTAGATGGAAAGTTAATTTTTGTCCAATTCGAAGCTTTCATTCCCGTCCACAGCCCATTCGTATCGTTCAGTATTTGTTACAGACTCTCTCCACTAAATTACAAGCTGATAATAAATTGAATTAAATTAATCGCTACTTTAAAGAAAAGTTGTGGAGAAGGCGAACACCAAAACCGCTGATGCACAATACTAGGGATGGTCCCACTAATTAAGGTGTAAGAAAAGTGTGTACAAATATAAAACTAGATGCTCTAATTATCCTCAACAAAACTTAAAACATTCATTTCAAAATTTGCAATAGTATATTTACATACTATATACTATTTATATACACTTATTTACCCAAGACACTAGTTAAGATACCTTCCATTCTGTTAAGTTGGTCCTTAATGTTATCTTCGTCTTTCTTCCATTCCTTTAACCGCTCTCGGTAATGCGTCTCCTTGTCTGGAACAATAGGCTCAGTTTTTAGTTTTGCGATGGCAGCTGCATCTACACCCAGTGCGACCAGTGTGGCACTTACATCCTGCCACAAGGAATTAAATTTTGGATCGTCCACAGACGCCTGGCTGGCATGCCCATAGACAGCGTTCCTATAGTGCTTCACTCTGGCTATGTTAGCCTCAACACTCATGTCTGAAGCAGGTGGCAAACTGTCCCAGCCTGTGGCAGGAGCAGGCAGACCACATATATTCCTCAGAAGCACCACCAGTAGCGTAATGTCAAAGTCTTCTGATGTTACAGACGAAGGAGGAGAGGGAAACAATTTGCCCCACTGTGTGGCATTGATGATTTTCCTTTTTCTAATGGACTGCAGAGTTGAATGTTCTGCAGAACCAGCTTTCAAAATATTAAACAGGTTTGCTGGGGAGTGGAACTTGTCAAAGGTGTACCTCAACGCCTTGGTGCCTCCATCTACTAAAAGGCGACATAATCTTGCATAATTAGCCGTCTCCTTCGAGGATGGAGCTAATGTTGGAACCTGCACAGAAGCCATCAGAGTAGACAAAACTTAGATCATCATCCCTATAATNCCAATTCGAAGCTTTCATTCCCGTCCACAGCCCATTCGTATCGTTCAGTATTTGTTACAGACTCTCTCCACTAAATTACAAGCTGATAATAAATTGAATTAAATTAATCGCTACTTTAAAGAAAAGTTGTGGAGAAGGCGAACACCAAAACCGCTGATGCACAATACTAGGGATGGTCCCACTAATTAAGGTGTAAGAAAAGTGTGTACAAATATAAAACTAGATGCTCTAATTATCCTCAACAAAACTTAAAACATTCATTTCAAAATTTGCAATAGTATATTTACATACTATATACTATTTATATACACTTATTTACCCAAGACACTAGTTAAGATACCTTCCATTCTGTTAAGTTGGTCCTTAATGTTATCTTCGTCTTTCTTCCATTCCTTTAACCGCTCTCGGTAATGCGTCTCCTTGTCTGGAACAATAGGCTCAGTTTTTAGTTTTGCGATGGCAGCTGCATCTACACCCAGTGCGACCAGTGTGGCACTTACATCCTGCCACAAGGAATTAAATTTTGGATCGTCCACAGACGCCTGGCTGGCATGCCCATAGACAGCGTTCCTATAGTGCTTCACTCTGGCTATGTTAGCCTCAACACTCATGTCTGAAGCAGGTGGCAAACTGTCCCAGCCTGTGGCAGGAGCAGGCAGACCACATATATTCCTCAGAAGCACCACCAGTAGCGTAATGTCAAAGTCTTCTGATGTTACAGACGAAGGAGGAGAGGGAAACAATTTGCCCCACTGTGTGGCATTGATGATTTTCCTTTTTCTAATGGACTGCAGAGTTGAATGTTCTGCAGAACCAGCTTTCAAAATATTAAACAGGTTTGCTGGGGAGTGGAACTTGTCAAAGGTGTACCTCAACGCCTTGGTGCCTCCATCTACTAAAAGGCGACATAATCTTGCATAATTAGCCGTCTCCTTCGAGGATGGAGCTAATGTTGGAACATGCACAGAAGCCATCAGAGTAGACAAAACTTAGATCATCATCCCTATAATGAAAAAGGGCCAAAGTTTTATTAATATTACTGCTCTATTTTCTACAAGTACCTTAAGTTGGAATTTGCTCTCAGTTTGTAAAATCCTCAAATGACAAATAACCATTTAAAAGTATTTTTAACAAAGGCTTTATATGAATTGTGACTACACTGAACGTTATCAGCAGATTGAGAAAAATAAGAATGACAGTATGCTAAGTGTTAACGTGAATTACGCAGTAGTGCCAACGAATTCTAAATAGAATATTTGTTCTTTATAACACTTACCCTTGACCCTTACGTACCACTGCTGGACCCTTTTCAAGATCAGTCCTCTCGTAGACCTTAAATGGACAATACGATTGAAAAAGAATCACCAAGTGAAAGTTAATTTTGTTTGCATGAACACAAAACAAACAAAAAAATCCCTTAAACCTTAAACATTTTCTGGTGAAGTTTAAGGTTTCTCGCTATTAAATCACCCATGCCAATTTTCAGTTTCCTGAAGTAAGAACCCTTGCTCTCAAATTCATGGCACAATTTGATCTTGAAAGAAGAGTGCAACTCCTGAATATGATTATTTTTTCTACACTCTTGTTATGGTGGCTTGACACCAGTCAACAAGCTACAATCATGGACAAACGTCTAGTGACACATTTGCATATGTAGGGCACATAAACGACCCCTCCCCCTACCCCACAAACAAGGTTGGACGCGTGTATCCAGAATTTTTTTCCAGACTTTCAAAATTGTATAGGGTGGGGGAGAGAGAACTGCCAGATATTTTCGAAAAGGTTGAACTGCTTTATTAGGGTACCCAGAAATGTCAGAAAATTTCTAATCACTATCCCAAGGACGTTTGTCCAGGATTGTAGCTAGGAAAGATTAGACTTCAGACCACGTCGACCTCTATCAATTCTATCAGCAATACGGGTAAACATTAACTCAAAGGCCAGCGGTAAGCGCAAACTGACAAAACCGTACGACAGCGCAGAACTTTGTGAAAGTCTAAGCAATGAGTAATAGTCCAGTTTCGAATTAAAAATTACCGCTGAATATAAAGATTAACGACACATTCATACAGGGTTAGCCTCGACGTAAAGTAAAATATTCAGAAATTCTGGCAAGTAATGTTTGAAATTTGAATATACGCAATAGACAGAGTAATAAACAGGTCTTTTTTCTTGTTGGAATTTGTGAATATATAACTTCAGATTGAGGCTAAGGCTGTGAAAAATGCGTCTTCACTTCTTTAATTTAGCGGTCAGAGCGAACTCGAATTAACAATTGTTAACCAGTACATAGTTGCGCAACATTCCCAGAAATGTATAATTTAAATGGAAGCAGACCACTTCCTAAACCCAGTAAACAGCGAATTAACTGTGCAAGGTGCTTGAAAATAAAGTAAACAAAAAGCAAACAAAATCAAAGTCAGCAGAGTTAAATTGGCCATAAGTAAGCGATGTCGGCTGAGTTTCAAAACAAATATCTGTTTTTCTATTACCTAAATTTTCGGTATTTGCGAGATTTTTTAAAACGTAAGTCATGCATAGAGATGCCGTACAAAACACATAATAATTACAATTAATGACAGCTTCCTATCTCACGTACGTTGCAAAATTTCAATCCAATTGAAAACAATTTGATAGCGTCAATTAGTAGCTGGATTTTTCTTTTCAGAATTATTCGGTTCACGACCGCAAAAACGTCCAAGGGAAAAAAACAGGAGGCAGGCTTCTTTGACCATATTATTATGGCGGGTGGGAACAAGGTCTGCACTCATGCTGGGATTGCACTACAAACCTAACTTCCTGTTTTACTTTTGATATAAAAATTTCAACTTTCCTTTTCAATTCCGATTTAATTTCGCTGATGCTCAGTTCTTCTCAAGACTCTCTTTGATGTCAATTAAATTGAGAAACAACTCAACGTTTATTAATTCTCAGCGAAATATAGTCAAAGTTAGGTTACCGATGCGGAAACATTGCCATTTGCATTTACAGAGAGTGAAGGTGTAAATCGGAAAGAAACCTAAAGATTGTCATTAAAATAACTCTTTTCAAAAGAATAAACATTACCTTGTAAAAGACGTGCAGCCTCAAGAAATACCAAGAGAACAGGCCAGGAATGAAAAAGAAACAAATTTCTCCTAAACGCGAATCGATCGCTTTTCTGAAAAGCACGAAACAACATTTGGCCTTCATGTGCTCGGGTGCTGACCAACAGCATTTGTTTTAAGGCTAGCAACTGATCGATATACTGGGAAGAAATATTTTGAGTTGCTTTTATCAGCAGCCTTTATTATTACATACCGCTGTAAGTAGGAGAGACTATAACATTTCCGCCTTTGATCCAAACTTTTCGTCGCCTTTCTGAAATATTCTTTAGGTGGTTGCAAATAAAACCAAGTGCTAGTCAGACCAGTGCAAGGTTTGTATTCCTCCGCAATCCTGAAACAAACATGGAAATTTACACTCTGTACAACGTTAGAGACGAGATAATCAGTCTGGACAAACGACAATCATGCCAATCAATTGTTAAATACCTGTGCAATCGAAGAAAAGGTACTAAATGGACGAATCTACGTTCATCAACCAAGGCGATGTTCCCAGCGCCATTTTAATTTCCTCAGACGCAACTGCATACTTTTGGAATAAACGAAGAAAGATCACGAGTTCAGAGATGCCAACAATTATAGGCGACGTAGCGTGACCAAAATTAAATTAAATTTAGACACGCGATGTCGAAAGTCACACTATGCTAAGATCACGGGATGCATGTAACGTGATACTGCATTGTGAATTGCAAATGTCAAGCCACTTGAATTTACCATAAAGATCAAATTCCAGGCGGGTGTTAATGGGGGAATTTGTGAAAACATGTAATCAGATGGGTTCCTATGGTGCTGTAGGTGCGTGACTTTGGAATGACACGCCATCAGGACTTCTATTCTGTCAATTGAAAAGAAAGAAAGGCTACTCCATGTCCTCAAACTCTCGACTGGACCCATCAGGGTAGCTAACAGTTTCAATTTTCTCAAATCATTGACACTAAGTTTACTTTCAATCGGCAAAATCAATTTAATCACTCTAGATACTCAGGTTTAATTGTATATTTCAACGTTGAAAAGAATACGCAAGCAGATCTCTGTGCACGCGGCCATCACCATCACGCAGCCAACATTAAGCATACCAACTTAATTGTCATACTCAAATTTACTTTTTACACAGTCTAACGTCCTCTTACAACCATCTCTCGGCAACAGCCAGTTTTTCTTGTCCCGGTGGAGGACAGTCTATTTATTCTGTCCATGCAGTCCATGCCGCATTCTTGTTTGAATCTCTCAAAGACAGTCACTCACCTATGGCTCCAGGGCGGCCGTTCTTCAGGTACTGGCTTTCAAAGCGCATGGAAACGCCTGTATGATACTCATGTTTATATATAGCATTCCACTATGCTCTCATTGGGACATGGACTAAACATTTAGTTTGATAGGTAAGCGTGCGTCTCTAATAGGATCCTCCGATCCTAAGACCCCTCGGCAATCCCGCATCCCATGTACACCCGAATCTCGCCGCCATTTTACATTAATATCCCACATCCCGATATTCACATAAGGCAAATCCCGCATCCCGAAAAACTCGGCTGTTGGAGATCCTCTTAACCGTCTCTCTCTCTCGCTCCGAAGGGACAAGTTGGAGAGGGGGAGGTCATCGGTTTCCATTCTTGCGTTTACTCTTTTCTTCTTATTTCTTTATTATTTATTTTTATTTTACTGTTGAAATGGCAGAGGATCATTTATGTCTTCCCAATAAGAAACTTGCTTTATTCCTTCTGAAGACTGCAACCCTGTGATCAAGGAATCCATTCTGCCATCATACAAACCAACCACCCCACCCAGTCGGATAATAGTTAGGCGACGAAACATGCACTCCGCTGTTCAAGCGATATTTGATGAGGAGAAGGACTGGCTCTAGGGCTCTTCCCACGCTTCCGGTGTTTCGAAGGCGGGTGAAATTTGCTTTTTCTACAAACCGGAAATCCTATTTTCTTTCTGTAATTTCAGCCGACAGTGTGGACTATGTAAACCAGTTTTATAATAGTATTAACACACAGTTTTGTATGTTTATGTCTGCACCCAAGAAAGTCAAACTTGTCAGTCGTAAATGCCTAAAGTTGAGCTCAACGCTCCATCCTGCCTGAGCAGACTACTAAGCAGCGACACTTATAAGTATCCGAAGGCCTCTCCAGACTAACTATGATCATTTTGTAAATTCAAAAGAGGCCTTTTAGATTCTAATACTGCCAACGAGCAAATAATTTGTGTTTTGCGAAGCTTTTGACAGGCTCTTTATCAGTGACAGAAAGCCTAAATTAAACACTATGTAAGACGGAGGAAGATGTATATAGTGATGAAAAATTGTCCCGTATGGATGTCGTGTATTCTTTTTCCTTTAAATCTTCCAAGATTATTTGTCATCTCTGTTAACATTCCTCTGATCGCCTTTATATTGTATACTGGATCCACCAATATTCCAGTTGTTCTCGAAATCTGAATGTTCTCTGCAATAGGCTACTTGCACTAAGAGGTCACGTGACCAATGCTTCCTTTAAACAATGAGTTGGAATCTTGCTGATGCCAAAAATTGCTAGAGCACACAAAAATTATCTTACACCCGAAATTTGAGAGGAAACGCACTTAAGGGAGATATTTTATGGCACTTTGATTTTTCAGCAAAGTAGTATGATTTGTATTGGCCGCCATGTTGGAGGGCATGCTTTTGCCCTCCAACATGGCTGCCAAAACTATTTCTTGCTAATATCTTGTTCCGCGTTTCATAGTTACGCTCAGATGTGCTGTAAACGTTATCACATCATCTTTTCAACATTTTCCTTGAAGTTTAAGTGCAAAATTTGTGTTCAGAGAGAGGTAATTCATAATTTAAAAAAAATCACATTTTGGTCACGTGACCATTTACGAACTTATTCATTTTAAGAAAATGGTGCGGGTTTGAAAAACCAAATGAGTATTATTTTGTTTAAGATATGACCCACTAATCGTTTTTCGAAGGCAAAATCGTGTAACTTTCATTTTCATAAAAACGATGTCACATGCCTTTTAGTGCAAATGGCCAATTTGATAACAAAGTAAAATAAGTCAAAATAAAACCAAAGAACACCACTTGTCGAGTCACACCAAAAGACTCAACCAATTGCTATTTTAATGATGACTCCGTCAATTCTCAGCATGTATTCCCCCTTCCCTGCAGTGATTTCGGTAATATTACCCTCTGACGTCATAGATTGTGCAATGTTACCAACTTTAAAGACTTAGCTGGAAGCAGTTGTATTGTATTGTATGTCATGTGAATTGAAGAAGCCAGGACGATTACACACGTTTTCGAATTAAATTCAGTGGTCAACCTACACTGTATAAGAAGAGTTGGGGGTAGTGGGGGAAGTTTTGGAAGTTGCTAGGTAGAGTCTCAATCAATCAATCAATCAATCAATCAATCAAGCTCTATTAACGGTATCACTTCATTAAAAATGCTCTTCCAGTGAGCCGTTTACATAACAAAATTTTCAGAGAAACTACATTAATGCTAAAATATATCTATATATTAAGAAAATCTATCGTATAATTAATTACACAAAAATCAATCAACCGTAAAGGTACATTAAATAACTAAAATAAATTCTATCTCAACTCCCTCAAGGCAGTCCCTGGTTCAAGACAAAGACAGGGCAGAGTTGAAAGAGTTGAGATGTATCTCGTCTTTAAGTACATTTTCTAGGCCATTCCACATGACTGCTCCCCTATAGCTAAAAGCCCGCTTAGCAGCTTCAGTACGGGGCCTTTGTACAAAAATGTTGTTCGAGGCACCTCGCACGTTGTAAGAATGAACCCTGGAGGTTGGTTTAAACATGTTCTTTAAACTCTAAGGGTAAAGGTTATTTAGAGATTTTAAAACACTTATTGCGAGCTGTTTAGAGCGTCTTTGCTCAAGGGTATCCCATCTCAAGTCTTGGAGGATATCCGCAGATCTTGTATTATAATCACTAAATGTTATAAGTCTCCCAGCCCTATTTTGCAATCTCTGGAGTCTGTCATACAGGCCTTTTCCCATACATCCCCAGACTTCGGAGCAATAATCAAAATAAGGAGCGACTAAAGCATCATACATTTTCAGTAGGGTTTGGCGAGGCACCAGGGAACGAATACGTTTTAAGGCCCCTATGCCTGCAGATACCTTTTTACAGATGGTATCTAAATGGGATTGCCACCCCAATACCTCATCAACCTCTATTCCCAGATATCTATAATTAGTCACCCGAGTCAATTGTTGACTATTAACAGTAACGTTTAAGTCACCATTTAAATGCCTTAGTCGGTAGTGGCTTCCAATTATCATATATTTTGTTTTTTTGACATTTAATGTGAGTTTATTGGATTTCAGCCACTTTTGAACCTCATCCAAGTCTTTGTTTGTGTGTATAGAATTAAATTATAGCAAGCAACTTTCATTGTTAACTTTGTTTGTTCATTGTTTTCCCAACCAATCCTGTCAGCAGTTGTGACACACCTCCTCACACTCCTTTCATCCACCAATAATATCATCTGTTTGATAAACAATTACCCCAGTCCTACAAGAGTGTACCCTCCGAGCTCATGTTGAGTTGACACGCCATATCCTCCTCCTTTGTAGCCACCAATAATATCTATAATATCTTCTGCTTTGACATCAATTCCCCCAATTCTAAGGTCTTCATTGATTTTATTTTAAAAATGAGCTGCATTGTAAGACACATTAACTGCATGGCATCTAGAAAGTTGAAAAAAAGCAAAGTTTTTCACAGCTTCAATTTTTTTACCAAGTTATATACAGGGACTACATTCTGTAGGCTTTGCCCGAAGGTACAATCCCTTAACCATTTATAATTATACTACCACATCTTTGAGAGAAAAGGTGTCTCTTTCATGTACCCCTTCCACATACCTGTTAAGCTTAGAACTTTGCATCCCTTTTAGCTGTTTTAAATTCACTTTGAATTTTGAATGAATCAATCACCAAACGATAACATTTTATCAACTATTTCACAGCCATAAAAATAATCATATGATCCGTATGTCAGCTCTTTTGGGCCTTAGTTACAGACCGAAACCACAGGTTTCCCTACTCTTTCGTATACTTGAAATTTCCACCTTTTCATGTACCTGAAGCCCTCCTGCAGCCTAAAAAATGGTACCCCTTTGGGGGGAGCCTCCCCAAATAGGCCATTATTGGGAGTAACCCCCTCCAGCGAAAGTTCAGCCAATAAAACTATCAACCGTATACTCATGAATAATTCCTTAAGAAGCAGTAAATCTCTTTAACCTTTCTACAACATCCACAACATTTTGTAAATCTTACTGACTGAGCCATGAAGATACAAAATTTCACTTTTCCCAACAAAAGAACAGAAGAAATTAAGCAGAAAGAAATAAAGAAAACATAGCTTTTGAATTGTAATAGGGACAGTTTGGATGATTTACATCTGTTTGCTTTTCTTCTTTTTTTTTTCTTTTTGACTGACTAGTAAGTGCCTTAACTACTGCTTAAAGGCCAGTGATTTTTTTGTTTGTTTGTTGTTGTTGTCGTTGTTTATTTTTTACCAAGTAGTCTAAGGAGGAACCTCAGGGAGAAAAGGTTTATTACACTATTATGCCAAAAAAAAATTAAAACATTTGCTTCAGTCATTTTTTCTATATAATCTGTTTTCATTTTGTACTTTTACAGTAGATTACTTTGCTTTGCCAGGAAAACCACTCTGTTAGTGAAAACAGGTGGGAATCAGGAAGCAATTTTGCCTTTGAAGGCTACCTGTATATCAACCTTTAAAATAAATTATTCCAAAACAGAGGAAAAACTAAAGGAATATTGGCAATTTTTTTTCTGCATGAATCACAATCCATAGAAAACTGAACTGGTCAGTCTAGCACATTAATTTTGTTAACACACTTTTAGCGAAGTGCAAATATCTCTTTTAAACAAGCAACTGCATAGTTGGTCCTAAATAACTATTATTCAAATGCAAACTGGAGCCTTACTTGAGTTTTGAGCTAGTCATGTAATTGCCAATAGCAATTCCTGATGCCGTTCCTCCACTGCCGACAGTAACTACAATATCATCATAATCTTCCAACACATCTGAATAAATAAGAAAAACATCCAAACAATAAATTAAAACTACTAAGGTCTAACAAATTACAACTACTTAACAACATAACAAAATCTAAAAAATATATAGCCTCCCATGCAGACATTCTTAGGGGTTTGTCACACATTCCTGCCCCTCTAACGTTGTTAGTGGAATGCGTGACAAACCCCAAAGAACATCTGCATGAGAGGCTAAGAAATATATGGACCTGGATTGCATGATCATCTCTTAATTTATATTTCCCTTAAAAGAACATGGCACACTTTACTAAGTAGATGCCCTTGGTACTGGCCCCACTAGCACCTTCTTAATAATTTGGGCGTCTGTTAAATACAGGTACCCTTGACCGAAAAGATGAGAAGTAGCATTTAGCACACTATAAACAACCATGATTGTTAAATGAAGTGGTGTACAGTAACTCCTTCTGCTGAGAGATGATATTTTTTCATTTCAAAGCTCCATTTGCTTTGCAATTAATCCTTAAAATTTGCTCTTAAATTCATCTCAAGTCACCATTACTAAATTATAACCGAATGCCATACAAAGCAACAAGGTTGACCACAGAGAAACTTTGACATTTAAGATGCTTCCTGAAAAAAAATTTCTGTCAAGGGAATTCTGATCAGTGTATACCTGCCAACTTTTTCTGAGATATAAGCGTGAGATTGTTATCCTGGGAGTGCTGGGATTTTTGGAGACGACACGATCTTTTCCGAAGATTCCCGAAGAAGTCCGAAGTCTTCCGAAGAAGTCCGAAGTCTTCCGAAGAAGTCCGAAGTCTTCCGAAGTCTGCCGAAGGCGAAGTTATCGAGAAAACGCTTATCCACAAAATCAGAGATGGCGAGGAAGGTATTGTCATTTATTCATTTTACACATGGTTTTCGTTCCTTACATGGGTCTGAGTTAACATAGTTTTGGAAATTGTGTCAAGCAAGACGGCAACAACTCACATTTTTCAATCAGGCGTGAGAAATTGGCCCACAAGCGTGAGCTGGCGTGAGATCGAAGTTTTCAACCCGCAGGCGTGAGAGTTGGCAGGTATATCAGTGCTACAATGTAAATGTAGATTTTCTTTTCAAATTGCCTTAGTTTGTTTTATTTGCTTAAAATAAATAATATTGAGATGAAAAGTCACTTAGGACCTTAAAAATCTTTTTATGAATAGCTACATAGAATATGTATTATAGACAAAATTAAATTCAGTTTTTTAAACCAACTTCACTCAATTTCCTTTGCCTCCTATTAAGCTCAGTTCGTGAATAATATTACATGTATAGTGTAATGAGACAAAGGAAATAAATCTACCCAAATTCTTTAACCAGGGTAGATTTTATTAACCTGAATATTCTTTTAACCTACAAAATGCATGTCAAATAACCCATATAGTTCATACAGTGTACCTGTTCTATCATCTCTTGAAATGTAGTCAAGTAACCAAACATCCCTGTGTAAGATGAACCACCTATCTCTATCAAATATACTGAGGATCCCTGCTGCTTTCTGACAAAATAAATAAGATTAACAATTAATACAGTACTGCAACTGCTACAAGGTTTTAAGGAGATTTTGAGTTGGCCAGGGGAATCAGTTACATGTAATTATAGGTATATTCACTGGCTCCAGCATACTTAGCAAAAAAGGAAATTAGAAATCAAAATTATTTCTCTTGGGGTGGTGGGACAAAAAAACCTTAAGTTTACAATTTGTGGGTGGCCAATTATAAGAGCGAGTGTAGGGTTTTCTGATCTTTTGCCAGAAGTGCCTTAATTATCTCACCATGCAATGTTTATCATTATAAGAATGTTCCAGCTAAAAAAAGGTTTTTGTAGTCTTTTTAAGTCATTAAAGCCACTTACAAGTTTTCTGCCTTTTTCTGCATCATCTCTTTAAGGCCTGATTTATACTGAAGTTTTGGAACAACAACATGGCTTCCAACCATTTTTTTTTTAGAAAAAGATTTCCTTTACATCCAATATCCGTAGACTGCATCAACATGAACAACAATCAACAAAATGTTCTACAGTTTACTAGCTCCCAAGAGGGCGCTAATAGTTTAAAATTTAACAGAAATTGAAATTTACTTAACTCTCGCAGATAAACACAGTGGGAATCAGGACCAACTTTCCGGACTTTAAGGAAAGGTGTCCGTCATATTTAGGGAGCTTAATTGCAGAAAATGACTGAAAACAGCAAGGGAAGCAACCAACAGTGGGTGTCCTTCTTATATAGGTTTCGAAAAGTGCGCTCCAGTTGACAGTGCTAGAATACTTGCTCCTAGCGAAACACATAACAAAAAATGAATTCAACCCACTCAAGGCACAATATTTGGTGCAGTAGATTGCTGTTGTGTATTGTGGTAGTTCTGAGGTGGCTTCCATGTAGAGGAATGGGAAATTATAAATCTTTTAAATGTGGCTAAATGTAATTAGGTAGGCTAAGTTAAACACGAAACAATGCTGGCCAGCAGTTTTCCCCCATGGATCAGTATGTGGGGTGGCCAGGGGTTGCGTGCAGGGGCTCACATACATGTATTAACAGCCTGGCTTTTGATGTCATTCTGTGTTTGTTTTTCACTGCTGGGCAGTTTTCACTGAGTTTACTCCTTCCCTGCCAATCCCTCTTGGCATGGTAAGTCTTTTAGCCTCCAGTGATTTTCAGTGTGACAGTGCCTGGTGGTTCCCACTCACAGGTTATCGTGGATCGTGAGGGGACACAAATTGCTTTTACTGGATGTACAATCCCACGCAGAGATGTTTTCTTTGTGGGCAGCTAATCCCACTTAATCCCATTAATATGCCACGCTCCTCAAAAGTGCAAAAATTTTTTTGTTGTGTATTAGGTTTCAGTGCACATTTTTTCGCACCAGAATAAATTAGTTTGCGCGCAAAAGGCTTCTAAAAAATTTACAATGTTTGTCCCACTTTAAGTCCACCTTCTGGAGATATGCTGGCTTGCTAGCTGGAATACATTGCCGAAGTGAAGATCTGGAATCCTTTCCTCCTCGTTGTTTTTTTGCCACGACATTTGTTTATATTTGTAGTGAGAATGCAGTGCATATTGGTGGATTTTACTTCGTGTGGCTGGCTATTTATAAGAGAAGAGTGCCGGATTTCATCACTTTGTTCGCCTTTAATTTGTTGTCGAAAGCAAGGTAAAAGGACCGACAACTGTAAGGTAAGAATTAAAGTTTGTTTCCTGGTGAAAAATAGAGCATAGAACTCGTGAAACCTGTGAGTATTACCTATGTTATACCTAATGTTATGCAATAACTCCTCACTTTTTTGATGGGTAACACGGATAGAAACAAAAGTTTCTTTCGCAAAAAAAAAGTATAATTTAGTTATCGAGACCATTTGAGGACGATTTTTCGTTATATGCTTCATTACTTGGCTTATTCCGGCTACGTGCGAGGAGTTAGATGACAATGTTTGTGTGCTATGTAATTATGTTGATAATTTCTTGCAAGCTTTGCACCTTTGTATTGAAACTCATGAAAGCCAAACTTTTTTAACCCTAGCAAAACAGTCTTCTATTACGGAGAAATTTTTAACGTCTTTTGGGGCAAAATATAGTGTAACATTTAGGGAAAACAAAGCTTGATTTTTGTAAACTGTATGGGACTCTCCAGGATACTCACAGTTAAGGCAATTTGTGTCCCCTCATGCACTGCTCAATCGACTCTGCCTGTCTCGTGGCTCCACCTTCTTCAGGCATCATTCTCCATGCTCATCTATTGTTGATGGCTTCAATAAAATAATTAATGTCTGATTCGGTGGCAAAATAAGGGTGGTGGAATAGAAATTGGGAGTGTGAGAGCACACACCTTCCAACAAGGTGAATGTACCCCAGGTTTGAAGTGGAAAAGTGGAAGTAAATCCACACATTGTATTGAATTTGTTATTGGTTCTTCACCCTTGCTCCAGGAATGTTTTTCTGGTTCCCATAGCAATATATATGTGAGCTAATGTGGATAGGTTCAAACAGCAAGGGCATCAAGTAAAGGGGACCAATTTAAAAAGGTGTTCATTTCGTACATTGCAAGAAAATATACAGTGTAGCTGACCTAAGAGCTTCTAAGAAACAAATAACAATCCAAGCCAAGCTGTCTTGCTGCTATTGCAGTGGCTTTACAATGATTTGACTGCACTCCACCACATGTAAAAATGGTGTCACACTTATTGTTCAGTGCATCAGCCAGAAGAAACTCCAACTT